GGCCACAAACCAAAGCACATGTCTGTGGCCTATTAGGAACCAGGCCGCACAGCAGGAGGTGTGTGGCTGGCAAGTGAGAGGAGCTTCATCTGTGTTTTCAGACACTCCCAATCACTTACATTACCACCTGAGCTTTGCCTCCTCTCAGATCAGCGGTGGCCTTGATTCCCGTAGGAGTGCAAACCCTGTTGTGAACTGCGTATGTGAAGGATCTGGGTTGCACGCTTCTTATGAGAATCTAATGCCTGATGATCTGTCACTGTCTCCCATCACCCTCAGATGGAACCATCTAGTTGCAGGAAAACAAGATCAGGGCTCCCACCGATTCTACATTATGGCGAGTTGTATAATTATTTCATTATGTATTACAATGTAATAATAACAGATATAAAGTGCACAGTAAATGTAATGCACTTGAATCATCCTGAAACCATCCCCCACACCACTTCTGGTTCATGGAAAAATTGTCATCCATGAAATTGGTCCCTGGTGCCAAAAATGTTGGGGACTGCTGTAATATACAATACACATTGTTCTGCACCGTTCTTCTTTCCCTTAAAATATATCATAGAAATAATTTCATATTGCTACTCCTACTTATACTTTATTCATTTTAATGGCTCCATGGCATTTCACAGTATAAATTTAACATATTTTATTTAACCAGTTAGCTTTGGTGACATTTTAGCTCAGTCTCAGTCTTTTGCTATCATAGAATAGTGCTGCAGCTAGGATCCTTGTCCATGTATTATCAAGCATATGTGATGATATATATGTCCAGGTCTTCACATTCAAAGTCTTGATTTATTTTTACTAAAACTGGGTAAGCAATGGGGAAAAAATAACCAAGTAGCATAGGAGGCATGGTAATAATAATAATTGAAAATAGTTTCTACTATATGGGAAGTAATTTATAAGTATACATTTAATTCTTATAAATCTGGAGACTATATTAATTACTATTATTATTGTCATCGTTATTACTGATTTAAGTGAGAAAGCTAGGATATGAATTCACCCAAGAAGCTTGGCTTTCGATCCCTTGCTCTTGTTTGCTAGACTGTTTCTTGGTGATTCTGTTGCTACTTTGGCAATGAGAGTGCATTTATTGGCTATCTACCATGTGCTAAGCAGATGACATGTATTAGTCACAGTCTTCATGACAGAACCATGACATGTTGTTGTTGTTGTTTAACAGTCTTAATAAGGTTTAGTATCTTGTCCAAAGTCCCAGACCTAGCAAGCAAGGAGGTAGGAATGACCTGAAGGCAGGATGTCTGACTCTTGAGATTAAGGCACAACAGAGAAGGGAGTTTCAGGTATTGATTCAACATCTAGCAGGCTGGAAGACAGAAAGAAAACTAATCTACATATGAGACTTAATTAAACATATTGAAGTGATAAGAGGGATAGGAAGGGCTGTCACAAGGACCAATGAAAAACAGTTGGTGGCACAACAATAAAAGCATCTGTAGCAGAGAGGAAGGCTTATTGGTCCCTGTGGATCCAAATGGAGTCTTCAGGGGAAATGTTTCCAAATCTAGATTGCTTTGTTCTCACCAACTACTTCATCCATTAAAACATTCCACACCTGTACATTGTATTTATACCTTCAACAACTCATTGTGACATGGTACTTGCATGCCCTAGAGAAAGAATAGCCTTAGATGACTGCTCTGAGTTGGACTTTGTGGCCATAGGGAGCAAGTGCCCACATTAGAAAATAAAAGTAAGAGTGCCGAGAAAAATAGAGCACTGAGATTCTTCAAGGCAATGCCAATTTCTCCAGGTCAATTTCTTGTATTTTAATCTCTGTTTCTAGCAGTTGTGCATCTTTGTAGGTGTGCCATAAGCAGCCATTAAAAAAGGCAAAATTGTTAAGACCTACAGGTCTAGTAAAATTATAAGTCATGTAGATCTTATACAAAGTATAATTTTAACTGAAGTCTTCTATAGCTGTTGGTTATTATTATTGCTGTTATTATCTTATAAATCAATTTTAGTATTTAGACCACGTTTCTGTGTTTGGCCTCTTAAGTTTTGAACACTGAATTTTCCTTGTTTCAGAATATCTTATTTAATGCAGTGAAGTTTTGGTAATATATAATAAGAAAAAAATAAAATGTGTAGCACAAATATGCCAGAATTATTTGTATGCTGGTTATAATAAAAATAATAACTAAGATATATAATGAGTGTTTCCTGTGAGTCAGATAATATGCAGTTTTATATACATTATGTAGTTTAATATTAAGAACCTGTCAGGTAAGTATTACAATTATTATTGTTGTTCCCATTTTATAGATGGAGTCTTTTATTCTACATTTTGAGAGTAACAATTAGAATGGCACTAAAGCAAACTTTTGTAAAAGAAGAAAATATTTTCTAATTCTACAAAACATAGTTTCTAGTTTAACACTTCTTCGTCTTTCTTCAAATATACTCAGTAATCAATATGTGTACAATTTTGTATTCTGCTTTTTAAATTCAGTATAGTCATAAGAAGTTGGTTTTGTCTGCCTTCCTTATTATCATATAATGACTGCCTATGATTAGTTGCCAAAATTTACTTATTAATTTCTTTTTTTGGAGACATTGTTTCCATTCTCTCTTATAGATATGATTGCAATGAAAAACTTTGTGTACTTAGCATATTTTATTCTCTGGGAATTTCCTAGGAAGATGTTCCCTCTAGCCAAAGAGCAAAGATCTTTCTGACTCATTCTAACTTCCTGAGTCAAAGTCATTTTCACAGGAACAAATAGTGAGCATTATTAATGCTTATTTTAAAATCTTAAAAGAAATGTCTACTTTGAACTCTTCAGGAATAAACTCTTTCCAGTATTTTAAAGATATAATTTTGAATAGATATGTTATTAATATATGGTAATCCATAGAAAACCTAAAGAGTGAATTTTTGCATCATTTAACTTTAAAAGTAGGTGAATGGGCTGAGGAGGATGATATATGCAAGGTAAATATTTATTCTTCATTGACATGTATTTCTTGAGAAACTGCTCTTTGCCAGACCATATAGTGGTTGCCAAGGCTATGATAATGGATGGGATACAAACAGCTCATCTCCAAATAGAACATCACTGAAAGTCATATCACGGATTCTTTGTCCTTGACATTGTGCCACAGCATACTCTTGTCCTGACATTTCTGATTTCTTTGTTCTTTTGCTTGTATGGAATCGGACTCATTTCTTACTATCAGCCCAAAACATGAAGGATAAAGAGTATCTTACTCTCAAAAAGATATCTTTATCTATATAGATACATAATTTTTAAGAATTTCTAAAATCATGTTTTCTTTCTCCCATGCCAGCTCTGGTGGGACTTTAGAAACCCTTTTGTCTTCCCAGGATGAAAGTATCTTGCTTCATAGTTTTAGGAATCCCTAAATCGTCTCATCTTCATTGTAGGTATCTTAGGTTGTGTCTACATACATTTATCGGTTTATCTTTGCAGCGCTTTAAGCTAAACAGAGATTTTGGGTTCTCCATGGCAGGGAAGTCCTCATGTAAAAATAAAATGTAATTTAGGATGTGTATCATGAATTATTAATATAGTGCACCATAACTGCGTTTTCACAGATAGAGGTAAAACATTTTAGGTTTTGTTCAGGAGCCAAAAACACATAATTCTTAGGCAAAATCAACTTCAGAATTACATTTCAACTTTTCTCTAAATTTCTCCATCCCAGAAAGACTTACTAATTTGTTGATAAATAGAACTTTATTACTGTATGATACACAATTCTCTTTCAAATTCTGCTGTGCAAACTTTTTATTTTGTTGATACTCAAACACTTCAGTGGTAATTCTTTAGTAAAAATTGCATCAAGGTAATGACTTACCATGTAGATCAAGCCCTTTGCTGCTCCATTGGATGCTTTGCTCTGAAAAATACTGTTATATCATTTAGTAGGTATGTTTCTACTCATTACCTAATATATATTGAAATTTCAGTAAATTCATTATGCATGTGTTGTGTATATTGATCAACCAATACATACACACTTACATATGATTTCAGTAAACTGACTTTTTGAAGGAAAAATTTGTATTAATATAATGATATCTTCCCCAGCTTAAATTTGCATGTTATTTTTAGCTAACATGCCTAAATTAGTTTTCTCACATTATTATATAAAAATAAGGAGATTTGAACTTTTAGGAAAGATAAGTTTCAAGAATTGGATTTTATAGAGTACTTGTCTTCACAAAAAAGGGATAGATGGAGATAATTTCCTTTTTTTAAAAAAATTCATTTATTATACTTTAAGTCCTGGGGTACATGTTCAGAACATGCAGGTGTGTTACATAGGTATACACGTGCCGTGGTGGTTTGCTGCATCCATCACTCTGTCATCTACATTAGATATTTCTCCTAATGCTAATTTCATAATGTCAGAATACTGATTCCACAGGTTGACTTGGGCTACCTCATTGTGAAACTGGCTCTGCCAGATCACAGTCGACTCATGGGCATCACCAACATAGCACAGAGGTAGAGAAGAAAACATTAATACAAGGGCATCTGAAAAAGGAGCTTTGATCGATTTTTTAAAACTTTCCTTAAATTTCTAATATCCTGTAGCCTTAACATTGGGATTGAAGTCCTCCCTGTTGCAACTTAGCACATACCCTGCTGTCTGAACTCAAAACCCTAGGAACTACTGAGATTTGAGTGTATTCTTGGTTCCAAATCAATCTTGTCACTCCTCGGAAAGCAATGCAAGATAATAAGTAGTATTCACCTGATTGCTTTCCTGCTCTGAGACAGCTGGTGACGCATGTCTTCCTGATAACCATGAGTTTCAGATCTAAGGCAGGGATAAAGGGAAACTGGAAGCTCTCGGAATCTAAATGTGACAGTCGACGGCTGAGGAGAGGGTCAGAAGGAATAGAATCTGTGACACGTATGAGAAAGGAACAAAATTTATCTGCTCTGGTTGCAATGATTAGATGTCTCTTTGTCTGGCTTTCCTTACAGTGGGTGACTGATCGTACCCGCCAGCTGGCTAATGTCATAATTAACAAAGTTGCTACTACATCTGCAAAGTTTAATCGAAAAATTTGCCAGTGATATGATGGCATTGTCTCAGAGATCACAAGGGACATGGAGTTGACTTTTGCTCAAGGTGGAACGACAGAGCTGTGTAGGCAAGATGAGAAATTACGAACTTGTTCAGCCAAAGGTATGTTTCTTTCATAATTCCACATCCTAGGTTTTCTTATTAAGATTTTTGTTTGATGGTTCATGGTTTCCTTTTTTGTTTCTTGACCGAATTGAGTCAGAAGAAGATCCAGATGCTTTTTGGGCATTTATAGCATATTCTCTGAAACCTTTTTATTTTTCCTAAATCTGTAAATTTATAATATAACTAAGCAGCTTTTGATGATGAAAATGGAATATAAGGCAATAGTTTGCTTGTTGGGTCTAGCTAATCTTTATCAGTTTTCCGAATAAGTATTTGGTAACAGATATCAATGGTACATTTAGATTGTGTAGCGTCGGATTTATTTTGCTCAACAATGTAAAAGCCGTTGCTCTGCATTATTCTATTGTGTCAACCTAGTTCTAGGACAGGAAAAAAAGCAAGTGTAGTTATGGAATATGTAGAGATTCTATTTTAGTTTCAATATGTGCTCAAAGGAAGGCTAAGGTCTTGACTTTAAGTTACACAAAGTAATTGGGGCTTTTTAAAACAACATTTATAAGGATGACTATCTCTTGAAATTATGTGCTATTCTCCACGGTCAGTCTGGTCATAGACTATTTACGTGTATTTTCTTTTTACCGTGATTTGCTTTGCTTGATTGAGTATTCAGGCTTTGAGGAGTCTCCCAAACCATAGCCTTCCTGTATTGCTAATTAATGAATGTGAATATTGATGAGGAAGGGCACGCGTGTCTGTGTATGTGGCTGTGCACTTAATCTAAGTACAAAGAAGGAGGAAGAGGTCTCAAAAAATATGCAGAAAGCAAGTTTGGGTTATTTATGCCATGTCACACCACTGTTACAGTACCTAGGCAATCAGTTTACAATATAATTGGGGACATGCATTAAGGTTCTTTCCCTCCATGGTCATCCGAGCCACTATATCATGGCAAAATGCAATAATTTGTCTTTTGCCTATTACTATTGTTGTTTGTGTTCACAGCAGTTTTTAAATGTCATGAAATAACATTTTGGAAACAAATTTCGCACAGCATGTATATTTTAATAAGCTCATTTAAAGTTTCTCATGGTTTTATTTCTAATCATGGGAGACTAGATATTATCAATATATTCATTTTAAAATTTGAAGATCACATTTTATATACTCAAATAAGAAATGAATCATTTTATGAGATTATGAATTTTAAAGCCTTTGGGTGTCCAGATAATTTTAAACACTGTTTATCAAAATTTTGGTGGAAATTTGACTTCACACATTTCTAGCCGTCGCTAAAATTTAATGACATTGATAAGAGAAACTGGAAGTGGAGATTTAAATCATTATTTTATTATATTCTGGACACAGTTTTTACAGGAGAATGTTATTCTTGTGATAACTTTGTTTCTCTTTCTTTTCTTTGACTTTGATTCCCTACCTCTAGCCCAATATCTGGCACATAATAGGCATTCGGTAGGTATTTATGATGAATAAATCAATGAATTTAAGTATTTCCACTGTTATTCAAAGATGGTTGACGTTTGCTTCCTTCAAATCTGTAACTTCTGTATGCAGCAAACATTGTGAATAGAAATAAGTAGATGAAAGGCACAATCACAGACAATAGGGAGGATTAAGTTCCTAAAATCATATATTGTTATTTTAATCTAAACCACCATAATATTTTGTGTAATTGAGATTTGGTATTGTCAGAACTCTGTTGGAGTATTGAAGGTCTATGAGGATTAGAAAGTGCCCAGAAAGTGGTTCACAGCTGATGTCCCGTTTTTTTTTTTTTTTTTGCTTGTTTGTTTGCTTTGTTTTTAAACAGGATTATCTCCTGAGATGTGTAGAAATGAACTGTTGTCAGAGTTTCAAAGGAATTAATGTTTTTTGGTAAAATGTGCTAATGTAAAGAGTTAGAAGATTAGTGACACATAAGGAAGGCAATGCATTCTTTCGCATGGAAATAGGAATATAATAAATGTCCTGCAGGTGACTGGGGCTGTAGCAATTTTATTGAAGATTAAAGTTTGATTGACCTTTGTTAGGGTGATTCACCCTTCTGAAATTAAAAGCCAGAGCTGAATTATTCTGCTCAATTTAAATGCAAACATCGAGCAGGTCCTATGTCATTCAAATAATAATAAGAAGAAAACCTTCCTATTTTAATTTTCATTTTTGCACCTCTGAGTGGTATGCTGCTTTAGAGGGACCGTACCTCTGACAAAGGCATCCTGGTGGCAGAAAATATACAATAACGTTATAGATAATTGGGAACATATAGGAAGAGTTCCAAGCACTACTCTCTGCATTTGAAACATCTTAAATCACCATCCCAACAAAAGCAGGGAGCATGAAGCCAATCTCTGCACACTGAAAATGCATGCTCCCAATAGAAAAACAACCTAGGGATGTCCTGAAGGGGTTAGGAGTAAGTGACAATGGCCTCTCTATTCTAATTTAGTGCCAACCGCTAACACTGCAGATCATATCCGTGTTAAATCTACATCATGTCTCCTGAAAATGCGTGCTTTTTGGTACAGTTGCTTATGAAGCAATTTCTAAAAGTTGATTATTTCTGATGTCTGGAATTTCATTCTCCATGATCTCTGATAGTTTCTGAATGTATTCAGTACTTTCATTAAGTTCAAAAATGCTATAGGAGACGCTAACTAATTATTTGCAATGCCATTTAATGGTTTATTTTTATTTTTATTTGTTACATTTTCTAAGCCTCTATGAGTAGTTGTGTATTCACATTGCTTCAAAAACTGTTTCCATTTTTCTTATCATATTAATTTTTTTTAGTTCTAAGTCAGTGAATATTTTTAGTTTTAGTTTCCATCATATAGTGAATGCGTCTTCCTTTTATGTGTCTGTGAACTATTAAAATGATAATAAAGGTTCTCTTCCTTCCACATGTAATTTATTTCTCTCTTTTCATCAAAGAATTCACTCTGAATCTGTCAAGGTAGAAAAGTCCAAGGCATTATAGTGTAAAAATTAAGAAGCCTGAGGTGCTATAGTTTATTTTTGCGCAAGCTTTTCATGTATTCTTTTAACATCCTTCTGAAAGATAGGCTTCTACTCCAAGCCTGTGAAGAAAGTCAAAGATGAAAAACTTGTGATAGAGTGACTGAGATTATTCAGCGGGCAAAGTCACTCTGGCATCCTCCAGAGAGTTGAATAATACCTTGAAGCATATATTAATAATATGTTTAACTAAGATCTGTTTGCTGTAAGGATAATTTCCTAATTCTTAATTGTGGTACAAGTATTCAACCATGAACTGTAAACAAATACGCTGTTCTGTACCTTGTCTGATAAAGTGTAGATTATCAGTTTTAGCGTCAGTACATTGAATTGTTAAACTTTAAAAAACTCAGTTGTTTCATGATAAGACTTGTTTTCTTATTAAAGACAATTTTAACCTAAAAGATAAACATGACCACTGAATTATATCTCTAAAATATAAACACTATTAATTCTTCAGACATAATTTTATTATCTTCTTTAATTTGGATTAATCTTATTTTACCTCTTACCAGAACTAAATAAAAATAATCATCAGTATTAAAATTTGCTCTAAATACAACATTCTCTAAAGTACAAAAAGCTAATGTGCTGAACTACATCCTTCTCTACACTGTCATTAACAATTCGCAGTCTTTTTATTCAAGAAAATCATGGGTTTGGAAAGTGAAATTCATATTGTCTCAGTGTAGAAAAAAGTGTTGGTGAAAGAGCAAAGGAAAATAAGATTATATTTTGCTAAATCCCAAATCCAGTAATTTATTTTGCTTCAGTGTGCTTCGAAGACATTTTATTTCTATATGTTGCATTTGTTTTCTATCAATCGATGTCTATCTAATCCACCCAGTCCCAGTCCTGACATTTTCTCTTATAGTTGTGAAATAACATTCTTTGTTATGAATAAGCCAAGATTAATCCATTTGATATTTCATAGACTGCATATTTTAGCTGGCGTACTTCTGTTTAAAAAGCAGACTTTTAAAAAGTGACTAATGGTGTTATTTTATTGGTTATGCATTGTTTATGAGTCAGCAATTTAGTTAAATATTACAGAAATTTAGAGTAGTTGTATTATGAGCAATTTTATTCTGCTAGACTAAGAAGAGATAGTGTCAGATTCAAGAATTTTCTAGTTTTTTAAAATTATTCATGGTAAAAAAGTAGTCACATATGAATTTTCAAGATTATCATCCTCTTTAACAGACAATAATTTTAAAATAAAATTATTTGATTGATAATGGCCAATGAAATTACTTCTTGTAATTTGTTTAATACAATAATAATAAATGCTCTAGAAACAATAAGTGTCCCATTGTTAACTTTCCAACTTAATTAGGAAGATTAGTTTTCTAGGGCTAGTTTTCAAGTGAGTTGAAAGGTGACCTAATATAGTGTGGTAGTCTATGGCCTATTTGATACAATCTATGCTATTTGTATTAAATTTATCATACTATCTCTATATATTACTTTGGAATCAGAAAACTTTGTAAAAAGATACTTTTATCTCAAGTGTCTTCAGTATTAGCATTTCTAGAGCCATCATTTACTAACCTTTATTCAGTTTCAACAAGCCTTTATTAAGCACCTACTATGTTTCAGGTACTCCCCCTAATCCAGTGAGGTGACCCTATGAGCCATGTATAAACAAGAAACTCACACTCAGATTGGTGAAGGTTTTATCTGAAGTCAGATAGCTAGCCAGTGGCACAGCCTGGTTTGGAAGCTGGTGACATAGCTCAAGCCTTTCCTTCACCAAAGCTGTCTTTGGGATAATCATAACATTCCACTTTGCTAAAACTTGACCATGAGAACAGGATTCTTTAAACCCTTTCCCCAGAAAAAGGAATTTACTAAAACTGAGGAACTACAAAGAGATAATTAATTCTCTACTGATTTCCTCTGGAGGAAGTAAGAGAAGAGGGGGTTTAGAGTGCTTTGAGCAATACACTGGTACACCCATGCAATGAACATTACTCAGTGGGCTCATTTCACAGAGAGAAGAA